TGCCGCCCGCTGGAGCAATCCCAGAAACGCCAGTGGGGAGAGCGCAGACTTCCTAAAGCACGGTTTATGGATTCACTGGGACACGCTCGGCTCATGGGGTGAGGTGGGAAGATACTGCGTCTTGCTTTCTCCTTTTCTGGTGTTCTCGCTTCTCAGAAAAGGCCTTAGAAGGCTTGTTGTTGTTGTTGTCTTTCTGAAGATGATACTTTAATTTTTTTCTCATGTTTTCTCACAAGCTTTTCAGCAGTTTGATTGGTGTTACATATTTTAGCTGCATTGGCTTCTTTGCTGGTTGGAAATGACAGAAAAAATGCTTTGACCTTGGCTCCTCTGCTGAGAACAGTACAGGAACAAGTTTTTGTATCAGTAATTTACCACTGAAGATTCCTTCCTCCTCCCCCTCCCTCTATCTGGAACGGGGAGCATCAGCATTTGCGCTTTCTCTGAAATGTTGCTGGGGAGGACTTGGATGGATATCGCCACAGCTCCTCTTTCCTCTTTAAAAAGAGAGAAGAGCAGAAAAGTAACTTGTGCGTGGATCAGGTTAACTGCTTTCATCTGGGCAGCAGCTAGGTGAATTAATGGGAAAATTACAATAGTATGTAATAGATATTTTTGAGACCATCTGCAGTTTTTCCTGGATTGTGTGTGCGCACATATGTGCACACGTGTCATATTACACCTGTGGACACAAAGTGTATTTTTGTGTGTTTTCTTCTTCTCTGAACAACATCTGCCAACGTGTCTGACTACCAAAGAAAGCTCTGCACCCGTTACCCCATGCCTGGAGTGATCTGTCTGGAGGCACTGGCTGCGGAGCAAACTTAAACTGGAATTTTGCAGCTGAACCGTAATGCCCATGTGAGACCTTAACAGATCTTAAACCTATTGTCTTTCTGCCTTTTTCACCAATTTACTTGTGAGTTGCCTGATGAAGACTCAGTGTTTTCCCAGTTTCTTCCTTTCTTGTCCTTTTTCACATCCTACCTTGTGTTGGAAAGGGAAGTCAACATTTTTGTTTCGGATTGTGCCCAGGATGGTCACAGCTTCTCTTTCATGAAGGTCCTACTCATTTGCCATGTCCAGGACATAAGAATTTCTCAAGATTTGGGAATTCAGTTGTCCAGCACAGACACAGATGCACTTAGACAGGGTCTTGTGTGCCTCTGTCACTGGGTCCTGCGGGTTTCGGAGATGTTGTGAAGTCAGCATCAATTTTTGTCACTGGAAGACAAAGCAAAGCAAGAGCTAAGCCTCCAGACAACTGCATGATCTTTTTTCCCTTTATGCCTGGAAGTGCCGGTTTCATGCAGAAGAACAGTTTCAGATAGCACTCGACAAGTCTGGGCCAGGAGCCTGAAGATGTCAGTACTGCAGGGTACCAAGTCACCACGTTGAGCTGATCTGTCCATGAGCGTGCTCGTACCCTGCAGAAAATGTGAGGTAATCCCGGTTAGCTCAGCCCTTTTACGTGGCCTGTGCATTTAGATGTCTGTTTTTCAGTTATTCACTTTGCTGCTGCTTTATGCCTCCCTTATGGTGAGAGAAGGCTTTCCCTGGTGATGCTGCCTTTCACTTGCAGAGAAAACCACTGCTTCCTGATCTTCTTCTAAGTCCACAGTCACATCTTTAAAAGGTTAGAAAAAATATAGAACACATGGATTTTTTTTTCCCTTTCTGTTTACAGAGCAGCCTGAGCCAAATTCCAGGTCCTTGATTCTTGGCTATTTCTGAGACCACATAGCTCAGCCCGTCGGGGGGTGCAAAGGTTGCTTAGTGCCTGGCGGGCTGCTCGCAGATGTGGTCTTTAATTTTACCCTGTTTTGTGCCTTTCCGCTGCTCCAGGGTACGCACGGAGGCTCCCTTTGCGCTGGTTTAATCCCGCGCCGCAGCTGGGCGAGTCTGTCCGCTCTTC